TTTTTCAGACCGATGAGCTTTGTAAAAATCGACGCGTTTCAGAAAGGCGGGGCATAGAGGAGAAACAATAATGTACAGTATGTGGAAAATAATGTGTTTTTTGAACCTTAAACCGCATAAACACATTTCATTACACCAAATACACAAAATAATGTTCTTTTTAGCAACATCATATGACCCCTTTAAGACTGTTTCGAAAAATGTGCCAAAGCAATTGAGAAAAACTGTAAAATTACAGTACTACTGACTGGTATCGCGTTCTGTACTTTTGACAATATGTGATTTCAGAAGCATCATTGGTGGTTTGTTCAAGTCATATGTGACCCTGGACCACAAAACCAGTCTTAAGTAGAACGGGTATGTTTGTAGCAATAGCCAAAAATACATTGTATGGGTCAAAATTATCGATTTTTCTTTTATGCCAAAAATCATTAGAATATTAAGTAAAGATCATGTTCCATGAAGATATTTTGTAAATTTCCTACCATAAATATATCAAAACGTAATTTTTGATTAGTAATATGCATTGCTAAGAACTTCATTTGGACAACTTTAAAGGCGATTTTCTCAATATTTAGATTTTTTTTTGCACCCTCAGATTCCAGATTTTCAAATAGTTGTATCTCGGCCAAATATTGTCCTATCCTAACAAACCATACATCAATGGAAAGCTTATTTATTCCGCTTTCATATGATGTATACATCTCAATTTCAAAAAATTGACACTTAAGACTGGTTTTGTGGTCCATGGTCACATATTAGATATTTGCTTTAGTAAACACTACTAACTAATGCGCCAGAGCCTTACCTCTTCAGATTTGATGACTTCCGCTCTCTCCACATAGACTAACTGGCAGACAGCATCCTCAATGGAGTTGAACTGACGGCCGTTACATGTTGTGTAGAAGCTGTCAGCATCGGCCTAAAGAAATTAAAAAAACACAATGACCGTCCATTCATAAAATACTGAACATCAAAAAAACTTCAGCAGGCTAATTTGCATGAGTTTATTTTGCAAATCATGTGGCAAAATGTATCTACGGTCAGAATCAGAGGCAAATCATCTTCTTGTGAAAAGTGTAGCTGCAGGCAGCAATTAATGAGTCTTTACCAGAAAATGTATGAAGGTTTTTTTTCTGAAGAACTGTGTTATAAACCAAATTAGTGAGGATTAGACAGACTGGGCACTTTTTAGATCCTGCCCAATCAAATTTCAGTTCATTCATTGTCATTGTTCTTGTATCTGGATAGGTAACTGACCTGACTCCTGAACTTTACCAGCACCATGTACTGGTTGGGCATGGAGTCCCGGATGATCTTCATGTGCTCCATGACGTCATTGAAGGGGGCCACAAACTTCATGAGGTCGTGGCTGGTCATGGTGGTGGGTACGGTGAGGATGCACAGCATCGCGCTGCGCCGCACGTCCTCTGTGAGCGACGTCATCTTACTGTCAACACACAAAACAAAACCGACGGCTCAAATCAACAATGCAACAAAGTGTCTGTTGTTCTAATTCCACAAATTCCATGTTTTTTGGACATACTACACATACTAGTATATAACATTTTGAAAATGTATATAAAGAAATCCCAGCAAACCAACTCAATGACAAATATAATTAGATTATACAAAGTCTTTTTATAAACTAAAAACACCATTAAAAATAATCAAAGCCAACTTCATTTCCCAATTATGTAAGAAAAATTGACAAAGCTCAAAAGCCAAGAATGTAAAAAATCTTGCGGCTCTGACAGCATTAGGTGTTTCAGCAACTATGCTCAAATGATTCAACCTTGTACTAAGTTCAGGCTGTTTTCCTGGAGTCACAATTTACAAGAGTGGAGATAAATTGGACCCTAATAATTTCAGAGGCTTTTGTGTGAACAAAAATTTAATTGAGTGTTTTAGCAGTATTTTAAGCAATAGAATTGTAAACTTCCTTAACGGACTGTTCTGAGCAGAGTATATGAGCGGAGTGGAGCGGCAACAATTTCCCCAAGTATTTCAGTATGTTTTGAAATATCACAGAAGTTCTGTTCGTAAAATAAACGAGTAGTTTTAAAGTGGCTTATTGGAACACTAGTGTGCAAACTTTTTTCCTACCACATGCCAAGCTTATTGCATGGTTGTCTGCATTAGAAGTAGGGCTGCACGATTATGACAAAAATCATAATTGTCGATTATTCCCTTGAAATTATAATTGCAATTATTTATTACGATTATCACAATTGATGTTTTGAATAGCTTTATACCATTGTTTGAAGCAACTGCATGCCATATTTTTATATGAAAATAAGCTGAAAACACTAACTGAAAAACTTTTATTGCCTTTCTATAGCATTAAGCCTCAAATGTCAACTATACATTGGTTTGGTTTCTTCTTTACATAAAAAAAGTTAAAATATGCATGGTATTATAATGTTATGCTAAAACTAAAATGAAAACAATGGAAATATCCCTTAAGATAAACTGTAGAAAGAAAAAACACCACACACATCTTAACTATGCAGAAAAATGTAAGTGGACTTTTTTTTTTTTGGTAGTAATTGCAGCTTTGAACGATTACGTAATTGTGGCATCCGTAATTGTAATCACGATTCGAAATTCGATTAATTGTGCAGCCCTAATTAGAAGGTATCATTGCTGCTTATTGCAGTGCAAATTTTGTTTGTGAAGGATGAAAATAACCTACGTTTTCGTCAGTTAGCCTATTTTATCTACGGATCGCTGCATTTCTTACAGATTTCTACTCATTCGAAATCGGATACAGATGAAGGAGCACTGTATTACATTTGTTTGATTGCATTATTGAGAGAGCGATTGCATGTGAATAAGTGCTGTTTAAATCATGCTCTTACCCAAAAATATTCAGTATCTAGAAGGAACAAACAAATTCCTTGAGAACTAACCTACTCATGTCCATTGCCGTCATCATAACCTTCACATTCTTTCTGATTTGAGTGATCCATCTGTATCAAGCTAGCTAAATATATGTTTAACATGTGAATTCTTGCTATATGTGCAGTTTATATGCAGGTTTCAATATTATGGGCTGTTGGTATGAATTGTACTCATGATGGAGCGAGTGAAAACCACAATGCTAAGACTTTTAAAAAATCCGCTCCTCGCTCCCTTCAAAATCACACCGCTCTGCTCACATACTCTGGTCCTGAGTCAGAATGGCTTCCTTCCAGATCACAGAAATGCTGACCACATTCACACTCTACACAGGCTAATCAATAAACACATCAAACAGAACAAAAATGGAAAAATATTTGCATGCTTTGTCAATTAAAAAAAAGCATTTGATTCTATTTGGCACAATGGAATATATTATAAATCAGAATTCTGCAAACTCATTCTAAAATTACAAAGGAGAACACCCAATAACGCATGTGGGGCATAATTAAGCTAATTCCTATTAATTATTAATATGCAAAAAAGATCACTCAAATTAAATTGGAGAGATAGACAGACAGAACGATAGATAGAACGATAGAACGATAGAACGATAGATAGATAGAAAGACAGACAAATAGAACAATAGATAGATAGAACGACAGACAGACAGATAGATAGATAGATAGATATAGATAGATAGATAGACAGACAGACAGACAGACAGATAGAACAATAGATAGACAGAATGATCGATAGAATGATCGATAGAATGATCGATAGATAGATAGATAGATAGATAGATAGATAGATAGATAGATAGATAGATAGATAGATAGATAGATAGATAGATAGATAGATAGATAGATAGATAGATAGATAGATAGATAGATAGATAGATAGATAGATAGATAGATAGATAGATAGATAGATAGATAGATAGATAGATAGATAGATAGATAGATAGATAGATAGATAGATAGATAGATAGATAGATAGATAGATAGATAGATAGATAGATAGATAGATAGATAGATAGATAGATAGATAGATAGATAGATAGATAGATAGATAGATAGATAGATAGATAGATAGATAGATAGATAGATAGATAGATAGATAGATAGATAGATAGATAGATAGATAGATAGATAGATAGATAGATAGATAGATAGATAGATAGATAGATAGATAGATAGATAGATAGATAGATAGATAGATAGATAGATAGATAGATAGATAGATAGAACGACAGACAGACAGACAGACAGACAGACAGACAGATAGAACAATAGATAGATAGATAGATAGATAGATAGTTAGATAGAACGACAGACAGATAGAACAATAGATAGACAGACAGAGAGAGAGACAGACAGACAGACAGACAGACAGACAGATAGAACAATAGATAGATAGACAGACAGACAGACAGACAGACAGATAGCACTAACTTAGTTTTGTAGAGGTGCATGATGCCGTGGACGATCTCCACTGACGGGTTTCCGCTGAAGAAGGAGATCTGATCCGGCAGCTGTTTGGAGGGAGAGTCTGGAGTCACACTCTCGTCCGTTTGATCGTTGACTTCTCCGTTTACGTCAGCTGTGGACTTCAGATCTTCTTTACCGTCCTCGGCTCCTGATGGAAAAACAGTGCGTTTACTCATCAGGGGTTAAACGAGTGCCAGATGAAAGAGAGTAACTGCACTGCGGCGCTGCAGACCTGCGCTGGGCTGGAAGGTCTCGATCACCATGTCGCTCATGACGCGGCTGCCCAGGTGCTGGTGGAGGACGGCCGCTCGCTCCAGCTCCGGTTTACTGCCCAGCGTCGCTCTAGCAGAGGTCAGCGCTTTCTCTCTCATCTCGTCCTCTGACATCTCTGAAACTGTGGGACACAGGAGATGTGAGCTGTGACACCAGGCCTCAACATAAAGGCCTCAAAGAGATTCTAGAAGCAAGCTCAGAGCTCAAACACACTGAGTGTGTGAATGAATGCTCTCTGTTAACAAAACCAGATGATCACGATATTTACCATAATCATATGTTTCTTTGCTTTTCCTTCAGCTCAGGTCCGTGATTCTACTGCTACTGATATACTGAATTATTCAGAAAAAAAATAATACTAATCATAATCATAACCATAATAAAATAATAACAATAAACAATAATAATAATAATAATAAAACATAAGTATATTATTATTTATTGTTTTAAATTTTGTAGTTATTCAGTTTATGATTACTTTTTCACTGTATTTGTTTTCGTTATCCAGAAAATATGTGTCCCAGAAAATATCTAATAACATTAGCAATAATAATAATTATTACTACTACTACTACTTATTATTATTATTATTATTATGTTACTGATTATCCAGTTTATTTTTTTATCGTTTCATTATCCTGTTTGTTCTAATGAATTGTCTCAATGTTGTGTTTTACTTTTGTTTATCAAGCTCTGTAACCTTGGGACCCAGAAAATAATAATAATAATAATAATAAATAATTACATAATTATATTGTTTATTATTATTATTATTTATTTATTTATTTTATATGAAAATCAAGTAACGCATATGCAGGTATGATTACCTTAATAATACTATTTTCATATAAACCATGTCACTGTATGTCACTTTAGGAAACAATATTTTCATGGTAGTTCAGAATACTATGGTACCTTGTGGCATGTCCAAAAACATAATACATTTTTGTACTGATGGTAATATGATGATAACACCATGGTATAAGAATATGGCCATCATCCTGTACCGTGGTAAACAAAGTCAGTGTCAGTTCTGTAACAGTGAACGAGTGAAACTCACCGGCGCAGTACTGAAAGCCGTGCGGGGAATCAGACTGATCAGCGAGCTCGAGTCTGATCACAACCAGAGACACACTCATGTGTTCAGAGGATCGAGCCCCGACACACTGCTACACCGCTCCAGACACACAACACCGACACGCGGCTTTAAACCAGAGACCGGGCCCGTGCTGACGGGGTTTCTTCAGAAATATATGCCATATACGCTGAACAGCATTACGTTTATTATTAGAGGGAAAACGCGTGAAAACAACAATGACGTTTGAGAATGAAAAATAAATTACTGCGTTACTTCCGGGAACGATGATAATTTCAAAACAAAAGCCCTAATTCACACTTTATAATAAGAGCCTTTCATGGCCACTGTTTGTGAATAATATAATGGTAATATTGTTTAATATGCATCATATACACCATGGTATTTTTATTATTATAATTATTATATTCATTATATTTGCATAATCAGAATTATATATTTATTGCCAAGTACATTATTACACTCAAATAATTAGTCTTGAAGTGACAGACAGACAGACAGACAGACAGGTAGATAGATAGATAGATAGATAGATAGATAGATAGATAGATAGATAGACAGACTTAACGAATAACGTAATATTAATATATAAAAATAAGACAGATGATGAAATAAAATTATATATACACACAGAAACTAGATAAAACAAAATAAATATGTATGTACAAAATAGTCTATACACAGATACAATTATGCAAGGGAATGTGGATTAAATATATATAATATAACAAGATTTAATTAGAAAAGACATAAGTCAACATAATTTTAAAGTCTGTTTGGTTTTTATAATTAATCAACAACACAGTACACAGTAGTACATGCAAATATTGAAAATAAAGATATTACTAAAATTATTTTTTTATTATTCAAATTAACAAACAATTCTTCATTATAAAAAAAAAAATAAGCAACATATGTTCCAAACATTCTAAATATGTTTCGTTTGACTTGCAGTGGAAAACCCACAACATGCTCACTTATGAGTGTGAGTGTAAATTCTCATCAAATCATCGCTCCATCTAATCTATGATGGTGCAAGCTGTAAAAGTGCTGCTATATTTGCACACACTGTCAGACCACTGAACATTTTCTCGGTAACTCTAAACTACTGGCTCAAACTCCACCCTGTGAACTCCCAACAGTGACAGCAGCTCACATTAACCTCCAACGTGAGCTAGTCATCTGGACTGGTTTATGCATTACAAATCCTCATCAAATCCCCCAGAGTGATTCGGATAAAAGACTTTAAGCAAACACAGATTAAATATTCGACTAGTTCTGTTGATTAATGCGGTTTCCTTATAGAATCAAACAAAAGCTGTGTATGATGACCATTTTCCACAATACTTCAGTCATTTAAATCAATTTCCCAGTTCGTTGTCTGAATCAAATGACGTACAACAGAGTGCAAACAGACTATTTTTAAGCACAAAGGTGCATCAGAAGGTGCATCTGTTTCTTGCATTGTACGTGATGGGGGAGGTGTGGTTTGCAGGAGAGGATGGACAGATAGGAGGAGGAGCTGCAAACGTCTGCCTGTTAATGTTCATCTGGCTGTGAGGAAGTCACCTCCTCATCAGCCAAGCTTCTAGAGGAATCGGTTTCCAAACCACACACCAGAGTGCTTTCCAAAGGTAAGCCAGCTCTGTTTTTAGAATACATACTCTGTTTGTCCTTCTCAAGTTTTGCATTTGTCTTCCTGTATGTTTTTCTGTTGCATCTGATAAAGCTTAACCACTTCAGCTGAGGCAACTGTCTAGTCTTACTTAACTTCCCTCATCTGAGCTAAACCACTGTAGAGCTTAAGCTGCTGGGAAACTTCAGACTTGCAGTCTGGTCACGCACGCTCATGATTTAACAGGCCACTTTTATTGCTCTTGTTCTCCAAAAAGGGGTGCGTGAAAAAGGATTTCCAGGAAGGAAACCATATCTGCTTTGGCAGAGGGGCTCGTGAAGGAAAGTCAGAATGTGTGGAATGTTGAACGTACCGTTTGCAAAGAAACTTTGTTTAAATGCACCTCAGACCTTTAGAGAAGCTTTCACGAGAGTTCCGAGGTCAATTCTTTTTGTTTGAAGCAAATAGGCTTCATGTTTCTGATTCAATTTCATTGTAGGGGAAAACGGAGAGGCCTCTTAGGAGCAAGAATTGTTGTTTTTGTCATTTGATTCTTGATAATCAGACAATACGAACATAGCTTTTGTTGAAACAGCTCTTTTGTTTTCTGTTGAAGTGAAACTTGTTTAAATGGAGTATCGTTTGCATGTGTATAGTTTCTGACGCCAGTCTTTCAGCCTGCAGGCGAGGTGAATACGGCTTGAAAATAGTGAATGACATTGCCGCAACATGCTTCTATTCTTGCTGTTTTGTGGCAATTGCAAACTGCAACGTGCATCACAAAGCAGAGGTTGAGTTTATGAAGCATGCTGTTTACAACATGAGTCATGATGCACTGAAGAGTTAGTCAGGATCATTTAGGACAGAAAGCATGCTTACTTTGAGGTGAGCATGCTGAACGAAACATGCAAGAAGCAGAAATGTACAATGGTCATTTAATTTGTGCCAAGTTTGGTCCTGCCCCAATGCAATTGGTCAGGCCGCTGAAAAAAAGAGATTGCATTTGGAACAGAAATAGTGGGACAGACACAGAACTCGAAACTGAAGTTTTTATCAAATCATGCATGTTTATAATGGCCTCTCATTGATTATTTAAATGCACATGCCTCCATTCATGCTTTCAGCATTAGCTGTTTTGTACTGTGGCAAATGCACCAAAATAAAGGTGCAACATGCATCACAAAGCAGAGGTTGAGTTTATGAAGCATGCATGAGTCATCATGTACCAAAGGCCTTTTCAGGGTCATTCAGGACAGAAAATGTGCTCACTTTGAGGTGGGTATGCTGAACGAAACATGCAAAAAGCAGAAATGTCCAATATTCATTTATTTTGTGCCAAGTTTGGTCCTGCCCTAATGCAATTGGTCAGGCCGCTGAAAAACAAGATTGCATTTGCACTTTGGTGCTGCTAATTATGTCTATAATGACCTCTCGCTGTTCATTATCTGAATGCATATGCCTCTTGCTTTCAGAATTAGATGTTGTATGGAAAATGCACCAAAATTAAGGTGCAACATGCATCACAAAGGAGAAGTTGAGTTTATGATGCATGCAGTTTACAACGTAAGCCATCTTGTACCAAGGGCTTTTCACAATCATTCAGGATAGAAAATGCGCTCACTTTGAGGTGAGGGGCACGCTAAACAAAACATGCAAGAAGCAGAAGATCTTGCAAGAACCAGATTGCATTTGCACTTTGGTGCTGCTACCATGCATGTCTATAATGACCTCACGCTCGCTGTTCACTATCTAAATGCATATGCCTCCATTCTTGCTTTCAGCATTAGCTATTTCGTGGAAAATGCAAACTATCAAATGCACCAAAATAAAGGTGCAACATGCATCACAAAGGAGAAGTTGAGTTTATGTTGCATGCTGTTTACAACATCAGTAATGTTGTAAGGCTTTTTCAGGGTCATTCAGGACAGAAAATGCGCTCACTTTGATGTGAGCATGCTAAACGAAACATACAAGAAGCAGAAATATCCAATACTCATATATTTTGTGCCAATTTTGGTCCTGCCCCAATGCAACTGGCCAGGCCGCTAAAAACAGATTGCATTTGCACTTTGGTGCTGCTAATCATTCACGTCTATATGACCTCTCGCTGTTCGTTATCTGAATGCATATACCTCCATTCTTGCTTTCAGCATTTGCTGTTTTATGGAAAGTGCAAACTGTTAAATGCACCAAAATAAAGGTGCGACATGCTTCACAAGAAAAAAGTTGCTGTTTACAACATTAGTCATCTTGTACCAAAGGCTTTTTCAGGGTCATTCAGGACAGAAAATGTGCTCACTTTGAGGTGAGCATGCTAAATGAAACGTACAACACTTAAAATAAAGGTTCCAAAGGCATTTTGCAGTAATGCCATTGAACAGGACTGTCCAAACCTGTTCCTGAAGAGCCACTGTTCTGCAGAATTGAGGTCTAACCCGAATAAACACACCTGAACCAGATAATAAAGGTCTTCAGACTCACTAGAAACTTCCAGTCAAGTGTGCTGGAGCTGGACCTTGTCTTCTGGAAGCAGGATTGGACACCCCTGCCATTGAAGAAAATTTTTTGGGTATCCCAAAGAAACCTTTGGTAACAATTCCATTTATTTCTTAGTTTGAAGAACATTTCAATCATCTAAAGAACCTTTTTCCACTATAAAGAACTCTTTGTCCAATGGAAAGGTTACATGGTAGTAAAAAGGTTCTTCTTGGAACCAGCAATGCCAGTAAATAAGCTTTATTTGTAAGAGTTTAAAGAATTTTTTTTTTATAATCTAAAGAACCCTTTTGTCCAAAGGAAAGATTCCATGGAATTTTAAAGGTTCTTCATGGAACCATTGATTCCAATAAAGAACCTTTAGCAGCAGAATTGTTCAATTTGTACTCATTTATTTTGTGCTATGTTTTTGAGCAAAAATATCGAACAAAAAGTTGTCAAGTTGTTATTGCTATCATTCCCCTGCTGGAACATCTTGCAAAAACTACTCAGCTGGATTTTGAAATGCAATCTTTATTTCTTAGCATGGTAATTACTCAAATGTATTCGTCTTTCTTATCATGTTTGGCTTTTATACATGTCTTCATTGCTTTCCACAGATGGGAGAACAAAATCCCAGTGACAGGCTGAGAGGAGACCATCCGAAAGAGACGAAGGAAAATGGCACAGGAAGCTTCTCCCAGTTCTCCTCAAGTGTACGCGCCATGGTGCGCATTCGTCAGAAGTACCAAGCCATCAAAAAACGGCGTCTTGAGATAGCAGCGGCGTCATCCCAGAGCTTCATGTCTCCACGGTCCACCAGCCCAAAAGTTTTCACTTTTGAAAATCTTCAAGACACCATAAACTCTAACCCTGCCTCCCCGCGCAAGCGGAAGAAAAAGAGGAAGGCGCGGGTTTTGTATCCGAGCAGCAGTTTGAGAGCCGTACCCACAAAAGAGAGAAGCCGTGCAAAGAACTGCCTCTACTTGTTGTGCATCATCGTATTTCTACAAGTTTACAATGCCATTGAGAACTTGGATGACCATGTGCTTAAATATGATCTAGACGGACTGGAGAAAACCCTTAAAAGGGAAGTGTTTGGCCAACAGAAAGTGGCAGAGAGTCTTCTGGGTCATTTACATGATTATTTGTCAACTTATGTACACAATAAACCTTTAGCGTTGTCGCTCCATGGACCCACTGGAGTTGGGAAGAGCCACGTTGGCCGATTACTGGCTCAGCATTTCCGCTCGGTTGTTGGCGAGGACTTGGTGATGCAGTACTTCGTTCTGCACCATTGCCCAACAGATGACGATATCCCACAATGCACCAAATCTCTGGACTCTCACGTCTCGGAAATGGTCACTCAGGCTGAGGAAGAGGAGAAGATACCAGTCTTTATCTTCGATGAGGTGGAGCACATGCCCAGGGAGTTGCTGGACACATTGCAAGACCTGATTCATCCCAAAAACAACAACGAATACTTAAACGCCATCTACATTCTCATCAGCAACCTGGGACATGAAGACATCACCAAGTTCGTTCTGCACAACTCCAGCGTCGCCGTCTCAGGCCGTCTGAGCTTGAGTCAGGAGCTGAACCCTTGGTTGCGTAGCTACCTTGAAAGATACCACATACTATTTTTGGAGGCAGAGCTCCTGCCCTTTATGCTTCTGGAGAAGAGCCACGTAATGGATTGTTTTATTGACGAGATGTCCAGGGAAGGATTCTACCCAGATCGATCCCATGTAGAAAGGCTTGCGGAAGAACTATCATACTATATAGTTGGCGAATGGAAATTTTCTCGCACCGGATGCAGGCAGGTTGTGGCAAAAGTGAACCTTCTCTGAAACAAAATCTGCCGTGCAGATGGTCAACGTGAGGAAATTGTTATTGGTTCACATTTTTTCCCCATTTCATTGTACATTCTATGTAAAAAAAAAAAACTTTTGTTGTAGTTATACATTATATTTGTAAAGAACATGCTATACTGTACTGTTTCAAAGTTTGGGGTGCGTAAGATTTTTTTTTAATGTTTTTGAAAGAAGTCTCTTCTGCTCACCGAGATTGCATTTATTTGATTAAGAAATACAGTAAAAACACTAATATTGTGAAATATTATTACAATTTAAAGTAACTGTTTTCTACTTGAATATAGTTTAAAATGTAATTTATTCCTTTGATCAAAGCTGAATTTTCAGTAT